TTGTTGGTATAGCCGGTATCAAAAAAGATGCCAAGGAAAAGTTCTTATCTTTATCAAACCATGATCGATCTAAATATTTTATGAATTTATTAAATGAAATTGCTGATAAAGTACCAGTTCGACGTTCACGTTTAAGTACAAATGAAAGATTTCAATATATTAATTACGGTAAACCTGAAGAGCAAATTATTTTTTCTATCAAGATTAATGTAAAATCACAAGATTTAGATGAAAACACTGTTGATAGCGTAGTATTGGATATATATACTATGATTACATATAAGCAAATTACTACCTTTTTCAATGGTCTTACAAATGATTTAGATGCTAGTTACGGCTTTGAAGTGATGGGTAAGTTTAATGATTATACTTTTTTTTTTTAAAAAAAAAAAACAAACAAAAATTTAAAATTATTAACGTTTATATTTAACGCTTATATTTTAATATTTTAGATAATTTATGGGTCTATAACCAAACTTTAATTATTATATCGATTTTGGTTCTTGTAGTAATTGCAATTTCACACATCTTAACGTTCGAAAATGTTTTAAAAAATTCCGATCCCAGATTGATTAAAATATTTCATGCATTGTCAAGTTATGTAATAATTGCCATCAATTTCTTTTTTACAACTTACTTTGCTATTACCTATTCTATTCAAAAACCAAACCTTTATTTACCAAGGTAAATTTCTTTTTCGATATACTTTTATTTATTATTATCGAGTTAACTTGTTTATTTACTATTTTTATTTTTATTTTTACTATCTCATTTCAGTATAATTATATTGTTTATTCAAATAATCATAAATTTTATTATGGTTATCGTCATGCTTATATATATTGCTGAGTTTTCAATACCTTCAAAAGAGAAAATAATTGAAGCTTTCATGAAGTTTTGTGAGAGTATAAAAGAATTTTTTGGTGGTATAATAAATTTTGTTACGGGAATAAAAGAGAAAATTTTTGGTGTTATAGAAGGAATGTACTATACAATGGCTACATACGCAAAACTTGAAGATGATCAACCTTCAATTGAAAACATTAAAGATTTGGTAATAATTTCTATTGTAAAAGATCCTGATCAACCTTCAAGCAACGATAAGGAACAAGATAAAGATAAAAATTCCGAACAAAACAAATATTATGAAATAATTGGAGAAGTTGTTAAGGAAAACAAACATGATTGTGTTCACATAATCACAAACACTTTTGAACATTCTGACAAATTAAAGGAAATTTTTGATGGTAAAAAAGTTGAAATTTCTAACCAAATAAAATCCGAAGTTAAAAATATACCTAGCATTCTTAAAAGAATTTCTGAAGATCAACATGAAAGTTCTTGTAGTGATGATCTGAACAATATAAATTCTGAAGACATTGATATAGAAATACAACCTACTACAAAATTACTACATGTTTTCATAAAAATACATCATGAATTTCATAAAAAGAAAAGAAAATTAATTTTGGCTGAGATACATATTGGATTTTCTGTTTTAATATTAGAAAAACTTTTCGGCATATTATTGGATCAATTTTTTGTCCTATTAGAAAATAAAATTTTAACCACTATTGAAGAAAAGATCTCAATTATTAAAAATTCGAAAAAAATTTCGATTAGAGATAAAGAATTTGAAAAAAAATTGGCCACAGTCGCTGGTGAAATCAAAAAAGAAATATTTAATCATTTTCAACATTTTAAACCTCAAGATCTTAATAATAATGAAATAATTATTGATGGGCAAGAAGTTTCTAATATACAAGCAAACAACTCCACTGAAATTTCTAAAGAAATCAAATATAAAATTCTTAATAAATTTTATAAAAAGATTTCTAATATGCAAGAAACTCATAATGATATTTTTGATGTGCAAAAAACTTCTAATGAAGCTAATGAAGAACAAAGTTTCACTGAAATCACTGATCAAATTCAACGAACAATTCAAAAAGAATACTTTCTTAAGAGAATTTACGATAAAATTTATAGTGAACTAGAAATTTATGATGGGAAAATAACCCTTATCGAGAAACAAAAACAAGAAACTTCTGATCACGAAAAACAAGAAAAAGAAGCTATTGATCAAATTCAGGAATGGACTAAAAATTATTTAATTGAAATTCTTAATAAAATTTATGAAGAAGAAACTTTTAAAGAAAAACAAAATAAAACATCTAATGGGGAAGAAAATCCTAGTAAAGAACAAAATTACACTAAAATTTCGATTGAAATCAAAAAGAAAATTTCTGATGAAATTCATAGAAGAATTGAAAAAGAATATTTTTACGAAATTCTTGAGAAAATTTACAAAGAAGAGGATAATACACAAGAGGACAATAAACAAGAAGACAATAAAACGGAGGAAAATAAACAAGAAGACAATAAAATAGAGAAAAATAAACTTCTTAACCAGGAAACAAACAAAATTCTTGAAAATAATGAACCTTTTGAGAAAGTACAAAGAAAAAGCACTTTAGGAAAAAAACCAAGAAGAAGAAACACATTAAACAAAGAACTTTCTAATGCGATACAAAATGATCATACCAAAATTTCTTATAAGGTTG